GAAAGGTTGAAAGCCAAAAGGGTTTATGAAGTATTGTGTATTTTAATCAAGTTGAGAGCCTACTTGTTGTTGGAAATGCTTTCCTTGGCAAATAGTCAATGTTAGCTTACATATATGGGTGTAGGTTGTGTGTAACACTCTAGAAATTCCTTTTCTTTAAAAATCCTGTTTTGCCCTTTTTTAAATACGAAATAGGAAAATCTAGGACATTATCGCCACCATGAAAACGGTTAAGGCAAATATCAAAGACACACAACGGAAGACTATGTTTAAAACTATCCAAAACAAGTCAATTTAAAAGTCAAACCAAAAGAAAGTAAAGTCAAACCAAAGTCAACCTACAATTTGGAACCATTGTAGGCCCTGTGCTGGCGACGGCGGCCGGCTGTGGTGGTGGTGTGTGAAAAAAAAATTAAAATTAAAATAAAGGAGAAGGGGAAAAATTAAGGGGAAAGAAAACAAGAGGAGAGAGAGAGTTTACCTTTGGTTATTCTCCACCTTGGCAAAATTTAATTTTGCTCATATGATGGGTATTTATACCCTCTCTCAATAACCCTCCTCCTTAAAATTCCTTAACTACCCTTAATGATCCCTTTCCTATTCAAACTAGTATTTGGACTTTTCTTAAATACCATTGACATTAAAATTTACTTTTTATAAAATAATATGCTCCAAAGTTTTCAAATTATGAAATAAAATATTTTTAAGATTGTTAAATAATTAAAAATAAACTTTTAATTAAAATAATTCTTTTTAAATTAATGAAACACCATAAATAATTCATTTCGAATTATTTAAATAATTTAAGAACTATTTATTTAATTTAAAAATTATTTATTTAATTTAAAATACGTATAAAAATACGGGATATTACATTATGGCTTTATGGGATCGCAAGAGAAAACACATCGATATGTGTGGGATGACTCAAAAATTAGACATCATACGTGGAGAAGAATGAGAACAAGCAAAACTAATTTAGATTTAATTAACAGTTGATAAGAAGTTAGTTAACGTTTGATATAAATTCTGTCATTATAAATAAAAAAATAACTCTGTCATAAAAGTTGAGAGAAAGTAATATCATTCTATATGTAACTATTGGGTGGTCAGGTGACCACATATGTTGAGGCTACGGCGACCTATGAATCTAAAATACCCATTGCTGCTATTGTTTATAGGTGTTTTGTAATTCATATATTAATGTTCAACATTATAGATATGTAAGAAACATAATAATCAACCGGATATTCAGAATGGTTGTTTTGCTGCTAGTGTTATAGTGTTAATAGAGCATCATAAACGATAAATTCATTAAATTGATAATGCATAAAAAGAAAGTACGGTAATCTTAAAATGTACTCACAATTCAACTATGTTCATATAATGATAATTATTGCTCGTAAAATAATTGTGGTTGTAATTGTGATTTTTTTTTTATTGAATCAACAAGAAGTAGGCCCTGTTTTTTTTTTTTTTTTTTTTGAGCTTTTGAGCAAAATAGAGTAGGTGTCAGTAGATTAAATTTCAGCAGAACAAAATAGATTTCAGCATAACATAGCAGATTAACGCATATCACAACAGCTCAAAAATAAAGGGTCGTAAAAATATATGCTCACAATTCAACTCTGTTCCTATAATGATAATTATTACTCGTAGAATAACTCTGGTTGTAATTGTGATTTTATTAATGAGTCAACAAGAAGTAATATAGAAAAAGAAGAAATAGTGAGGTAAGTGAGAACAGAAATGAATGTGGTCCACAAGAAAAGAGAGAAGAGGTAGAATAAAAAGGGGAAGCCCAATAAAGGGGAAGGGGATAATTGTCATTATAATAAATGAGCGTGAAGAAACAAACAGTTGAAGACAGAAAAAAGCTTCTGCTGCTGCTCCTACTTATGCGGCCGCCAGCAATTTTATCGGCTGCGGAACCGGCTTTACTCTCGCCTCAAACCCCCCCACACCCTCACCGCCTACACGCTACTTACTTACATCCCTCCTTTTTTTTAATTTTTATTTATTTATTTATTTTTATTCACCACTTCTAGCTACTATTCATCAATGGATAATCACCACTCTATCTCTCCTCTTTTACTTCGACTATTTTGTTATCTTTGCTTCCATTTTGTCTCTACTTATAAAGCATTTTCTTGGACTGCTTTCCCACCTTGCTTTTTTATTGGCCATCATAAATCACAAACTACAAACACTTATGGTCTTATGTAGTATTAAATTTATTATTTGTTACGAGTGCGTCTAATACTTTTTACTTTATATTTGCTGAACTAAAATTATTTTTATAAAATTAAAATTAGTTTACTTAATCTACATAATCTTTAATATATGTGCTCTTTAAAAATATTAATTAAAACTTATATCTATTAAATTGTAATTGCTTTTTACCAAATGTTATTGACTTACTCCTATGATTTATATATACATTTAAAAAAAATAAAAATTGTGTGGCTAGGTTTGATTCGTCTTAAAGTAGATCAGGTGCATTATATAAAAAGTTTCAATCAAGCACTTAAATATAAACAAAGTGATTAATGCTTACTTTACTTTGTAGAGATTTCACCTTATATTTCCGAGGTAAATGATTCAATTCAAAGTGCGGTTTTGGATTTGGAAGTTCCCTACTACTTCTCGAATGAACTAGAACCTTGCACATGTTAATCAGGTCAACCGACCAAGTTTGAGAAACCTATGCAAAATATTTTTTACATTACTGAAGATAAAAACAGAGTAGATTTGTACGAATACATGCAATGTGTTAGGGTTATACTCACAGAGAAGGTGCATTATGCTGGAAAACTATAAAAAGGAAAAAAAAAAAGACAGAGAGGAGATCTCGTCAAAGAAAAAAGGAAAACAAAAGGAGTAGATCCATTTTGGGAATCCTGGGTTTGGCTTGGTGTGGCATGTCTCTCACGTCTTGCAAACAATGAAACAACCAAAGCGACACAAGTGAGAAACTTTTTGTGTATTACAGTAATCAGTACGTAGACTTGGTCCTTTTTTTTTTTTTTTTTTTCCTCCAAAAAATAAATACTTTGTGTAATACGTTTTTTTCCTCCAAAAAATAAATACTTTGTGTAATACGGAGTATTAAAATGGTGATCTACTTGAAAGTGAGTTAAGGTGAAATACGTCCCTGACTCACTTTTTAGGTACAAATTACTAAATTTAAACATACCGTAGCACACATGGTAATAAATATAAGGATAAGAAGGTTTGAACCCTCAACCTTTTATAACAAAGATGACTATTTAATCATCTAAGCCTATTATCAACTATGTTGTTATTATGAAAAAATAAAATTATATAAGCACAAACCACAAGGTTCGATTAAAAAAATAATAATAAGATACTAAATGAATAACTCAATTTTGGTTTGACAATGACAATTGCAGTTTTGAAAAGCCTTTAAAAAAAATTATCGACTACACGTCTACATCAGTAGCAATTCGGGGCAACGCCCGGACTACTCACTAGTTAAATATAAAATGAAAGTTTAGGGACTTGTAGAGACACATGACGCTCCCATACAAGAGCGATTATAAGTTTTAACCCATAAGTATAATTTAGTTCAATTAAAATAATTTAATTTCAACAAAACCAATTAAATTTTAGTAAAAATTATTTAGTTTATAAAAATATATAGGAAATGTTGTATTTTGCCACCCATAAATTAAATATCTACTTTTTGACATTACCACTAAAAAATATGTATTTTAAAATACCATAAAAAAAATTAAAAAAAATAAAATATATATATTTTACATGAATCTTTATCATTTTTCCACTCCATTTAACACTCAAACGGATTTTGTTTAAGAGCCCGTTGCAAATACTCCCTCCATGTTTTTTAAATGCGTGCAACACTTTGACTGTTGCACTATTCACATACCTTGTTTGATTTTTTTTAACTATTATATTATATTAATAGATTAGTCACCATGTTATTATGTTATATCAATAGATTAGTCACGATGCCTAATTTCATATTTTTTTTCTACAATTTTTACTAATAGACAATCAAAGATATAAATGTACTGATCAAATTACTGAAGCATTTTTTAAAAAGAGCAAAGAGAGTAATAAGAAATAAAGGTAGTGTTTGAGACAAATCCACAAAAAGATGAAATGATTTCAAACGAAACAAGTTAATTTCAGAAAAAAAAAGTTAAGACAAAATAAGATAAATAAGCAAAGCCTTAACAATAAAGTATATGCTCTTGTGAGCTGTGACTTTGAGGTCACAAGTTCGATCTCCATCAACTACATTTGAGGTTCTATTGGATCCTTTATCTTACCTTTATACTCCTTTTGTCTCTAAATATAGTTCACATTTGACTTTTCACGGTTTCCAAGACATGTCTTAAAACGTCTATATCTCTATTTTTATTCGCATAAAAATTATAAAAACTTGATATTAAAAAATATATAATGTAACGAATCCAACAAGATTCCATGAACATATAATCTCTTATAAATTAACGGAAATTTATAATTAAAGTTTGACCCAAATAAGTCAAATGAGAAATGTATTTAGGGACGGAGGGTGTATATATTATATCCCTACCTTTTAAAAAGTATGAGAAAATACTTATGAATAGTGTGAGGACAATTATATCCTTAAATGTTTGTTTACATATATGTCCCTATTGACATGATGTAATTGCCTCTATGCTTTTCCTTGTATAATTTAATGATTTATTCCTATGAATAGTATTTGGATAATGATATCCTCTAAAATATTTATATACTTATTTGCCCTCACTAACATTAATTGTTTTTTTTTAGAACTCTTAAAAAGAGTGTGTAGACATTTATAACTCTAAAAATTAGGGCTAGCAAACCCTGACCCGACACGAAAACCCGACCCAAACCTGACCCGAAGTTACTGAGAGAGACCCGAACCCGACCTGAACCAAACCCGAACAACCCGAATTCGACCCGATTTGACCCAAATTTCATATTTCGTAATAATATTAAGTTTTACACTATTTTTAATAGTTTCTAAGCATAACCCGAAATCGACCCAAAATCTGACCCGAACCCGACCTGCTGACCCAAATTGCCACCCCTACTAAAAATATTTATTTACATATTTTCTCTTTTATGTTGCCAACAACCGAAAAAAATCTCCAAAAATGACAAACTATGACGCGCGTTAACCACCTATTAGAAAAAAAAAAAAAAAAAAAAAAGTGAATGGTCCGTAAGTGGTAACGGCCTAGATGTATGCGACAATGCTCGGGTGAGGGTAGGCTGTTAGAGAGACAGAGGAGTCGTATTCCTAGTTCGTAGTTTTATACTGCTCTCCTCAGTAATCAATCTACTTGTATTTCATATTTTCTCACACAAACCGGGACCCCCCTCTTTCCCTCTCTCTCCGCCTTCTTCACTGTCTTCTGTCTACGCCCATTTTTTTTATTTTAAAACTAAAAAGTAGCACGGCAGAACACCACCACCTTCCTTTAAACTGAAACAACCCAATTCAGCCCCCAACATCAACTGCTGAACAAGACGACGTCGGAGAAGAAGAAGCAGCGCATCACTTCAACAACGCCGCCGCTACCTCCGCCGCCAATCCTCCGGCATTACACCTTGTCTGTTACTTCTTCTCTCTGTCTTTGTCTTTCATTTTAGATCCTGCATTTTACTTTTCCTCTTCATAATCCTTTATCACACTACCCATTGCCATCATTGTTTCTATTTTTACTTTTTTTTTTTTTTTTTAAAACCTAACTTTTTTTTTTCTTCTGAATGTTAATTACCCCTTTTTATTTTATATTATTTTTATAGTTTTAATTATAATTACCTCCTCTGTCTTGTTCGTCTTTTTTACAACTGAAGAAACCCCAGTTAATTTAATTATTCATGTTTTTTTGTACTGTTTACATTCTAGACGGACTTGTGGATTCTTATGTTTTTTCCCTGTTACATTTGTACGGTTTCAATTATTTTTTATTTTAACTACTTTCTTTGGCTTCTGTGTGCTCATTCAGACAATCTTTGTCTTTCCTTCCTCTTTTACTTATCACTTAATTATACTACTCGTATTTAAAAGGAAAAAAAAAAAAAACAACTTATGGAGAAGAGAAAGAATAGTAATTATTAGGTTTTTCTTTTTTTCTTTTTTGTTTTTATTTTTATAAAAAAAGGAAAAAAAAGGGATAATGGGGTTGTTTAGAAATTGGAATGTTTGTTGTGTTGTGCAAATAACATTAATAGTTTATCAACAGTTTGTTTGTTAGTTGTAAATGAGCTTCAACAGCAATTAAGAAGCTGCTATATTTGGTGATTATAACAGGAATACCTAATTGTGGGTACGCAACACAATGAATCAGAATCCTGCAATGGAGCTTTATTATGCCAACAACACTGCCTCTGCTTATCCTAACCCTTATCAACAGCAACATTCTGATCATTTCATGGGCTTTTTCGACGGCCTCGCTCACCCCAATGTCAATCCCGTTCCCAACCCGAATCCGCCTATTCCTTATGTTTACCCTCATGTCCCTATGCCTAATCACCAGGTATGTTTTATTACCTTGTTTTTTTTATCATACATTTTGTTGATAAGTATTAGGTGACTCGTACTTCGTTGCTTTGTCCGCCCGATCGGGCGGACATTGCCCGGTCTGACCGGGCGGAAGAAGAAGAGGTGCCTGGCAAATTCGTTGAAGAAGCTGCTCTCGCGCGCCCGATCGGGCGAGCTTCGGCGGGCGAGCCTTCGCCCGACCGGGCGGACATTGCCCGGTCTGACCGGGCGGTGGGGGTTGGATACGTTGAAGCATTCGTATGGAGTTTTCTTCTCGCGCCCGATCGGGCAGACCTTGCCCGGTCTGACCGGGCGGAGAAGGAAAAATGCGGAGACGCGGATTTTACGATTTAAAGTTATCTTTTATGTTATCTTTTTGCCCAAGTATCTTTTATTTTAGGGATTAATATAAAACCTCCCTAATATTAGTATAAGGGTTAAGAGAGATAGAGTGAGAGCCGTTCTTGAGAAATACAAGAATCATCTTTGTAATCTTTGCAGTTTATAGTGAAATCATTCGATCTCGGTGCCCGTGGACGTAGCTATCACATCGATAGTGAACCACGTAAATTCTTGGTGTTGTTCTTATTGTTTGCATTGAATTTCTTTATTGTTTTCTTGTTTGTTTTCGACCTTTGCTTCCACGTAAATAGTTTATTGTTTTCTTCTTTATTGTCTTTCTTTATTGTTGTGCGACAGCGGAAGCAAAGGTCGTAAACAAACAAGAAAACAATAAAGAAATTCAATGCAAACAATAAGAACAACACCAAGAATTTACGTGGTTCACTATCGATGTGATAGCTACGTCCACGGGCACCGAGATCGAATGATTTCACTATAAACTGCAAAGATTACAAAGATGATTCTTGTATTTCTCAAGAACGGCTCTCACTCTGTCTCTCTTCACCCTAATACTGATATTAGGGAGGTTTTATATTAATCCCTAATTAAAAGATACTTGGGCAAAAAGATAATAAAATAAGATAACCTAAAACCGCAAAATCCGCGTTCCGTATTTTTCCTTCTCCGCCCGGTCAGACCGGGCAAGGTCTGCCCGATCGGGCGCGAGAAGAAAACTCCATACGAATGCTTCAACGTATCCAACCCCCACCGCCCGGTCAGACCGGGCAAGGTCTGCCCGATCGGGCGAAGGCTCGCCCGGTCGGGCGAAGGCTCGCCCGGTCGGGCGCGAGAGCAGCTTCTTCAACGAATTTGCCAGGCACCTCTTCTTCTTCCGCCCGGTCAGACCGGGCAATGTCCGCCCGATCGGGCGGACAAAGCTACGAAGTACGAGTCACCTAATATACTTATCAACAATCTCCACCTTGACGAGAACTCGTAGTCAGCAAACGACCCCATCAAGACATAGTGAAAAAACATCTCAAGCCAAACCCGATGCAGGACTCATGCATAAGCCATACATCCCGATAAGTCTTCAACCAAGACCCATCACATACTCGTCTCCAAGTATAACAACTCATAATGCTCCACCTGCATCACAAGCCCCGGGCAAGCTCCACCTTAATGCCAACACACCTACACCAGGAGCTCCCCAACTTCGCCCCTCAGGGCCTACTACATCACGTAGTAATCAATATTTAGCAAATCTAAGCAATGTTTAAACTTGCTAAACGGAACAGGCTTAGTGAAGAAATCAGCCGGGTTGTCAGCAGTCCCAATCTTCTTCACCTTAATCCTCTTGTCAGTACGCAAGAAATGATACCTGACATCAATGTGCTTCGTCCGATCATGGTGTACTTGATCTTTAGCTAAGCAAATCGCACTTAGACTATCACAATACACTGTAGCAAAATCCTGTGCAATACCCAGTTCACCTACTAGGCCTTTGAGCCAAATAGACTCCTTAGCTGCAGAAGTTAAAGCCATATACTCAGCTTCAGTAGTTGACAACGTAACTGATGACTGCAATGTAGACTTCCAACTAACCACAGAACCACCCAAAGTGAACACATAACCAGTCACAGACCTCCTGGTATCCACATCAGCTGCATAATCAGAATCACTGTACCCAGTGACCAAGCATTCCCTACCATTCCCGTACACAAGACCAATATCAGTTGTCCCTCTCAGGTAGCGAAAAATCCTTTTCACCCCTTGCCAGTGTTCCCTCCCAGGTCGAGCCATAAACCTGCTTACAACACTAACAGCATGCGCAATATCCGGCCTAGTACAGACCATAGCATACATCAAACAACCAACCGCGTTTGCATATGGAACTCTAGACATATAAGACAACTCCTCCTCTGATTGAGGTGACATAGACAAAGACAACTTACAACTAACAGTAGTTGGCGTACTTATAGGCTTCGATTTTTCCATCCCAAAACGAGACAAAATCTTTTCAATGTAGCTTTTCTGAGTCAAGAAAAGCTTACCTCTAGCCCGATCCCTGTAGATCTCCATACCCAAAATCTTCCTAGCTGCACCCAAGTCTTTCATGTCAAACTCCGAGTTAAGCATCTCCTTTAATCTAGCAATATCAGATTTATTCTTTGTGGCAACCAACATGTCATCAACATATAACAAAAGATAAATCATGGAACCATTATCCAGCTTACTATGATACACACAGCAATCATATGAATTCCTGTCAAAACCTTGTGAAACCATAAAAGAATCAAACCTTTTGTACCACTGTCGGGGGGATTGCTTAAGTCCATACAATGACTTTAGCAATCTGCAGGCATAGTGTTCCTTTCCAGGAACTTCGAATCCTTCGGGCTGCTTCATCAGAATCTCCTCCTCCAAATCGCCATGAAGGAAAGCCGTTTTAACATCCAACTGCTCCAGCTCAAGATCAAAATGTGCTACAATTGACAATAACACACGGATAGAAGTATGTCGAACCACAGGTGAGAATATCTCAACAAAATCAACCCCTTCTACCTGACTGAACCCCTTAGCAACTAGCCTAGCCTTAAAACGTATTTGCTCAGTTTCCGACAACCCTTCTTTCTTCTTGTAAATCCATTTACAACCCACAAGCTTCCTCCCTTCCGGTACCTTTACCAGTTCCCACACTCTGTTCTTGTAAAGAGACTGCATCTCTTCACCCATTGCGGCAAGCCATTGCGCAGACTCACTACAACTAATTGCTTGTTTATATGTGGCAGGTTCAAATGACTCTACATCATCAGCTACACTCAATGCATAACCTGTCATCGCATCAACACAGCAATTTCTTCCCTCCATCTCTTCAATCAATCTAACAGGCTTCTTGATAACTCGTTTAGGCATCTCAAGAATGGTGTCAGGTTGACTAGATGACCCCTGATTAGATTGCTCCACCTCATCCCCAGAGTTAGAATGAGTAGGAGTAATCTCAGGTTCAGGAGTACCCGGCACTGGAACATCAGCATCATCATCAATATATTGTACCCGAGGTAAATCAGCAATGGTAGACTGATGTACCTCAAGTACCCCATCTGTCTGTAATAAATTGTCTCCTTCCCTTCTCAAATCTGAAATCTCTGCATTTTTAATTGAATACATGGTGTTTTCATCGAAAGTAACATCCCTACTAAGAATGACCCGACCCTCCGAAGGTGAAAAAATTCTAAACCCCTTCACACCATCCCCGTACCCAACAAAACACCCCTTCTTGGCTCGTGGATCCAGCTTACCCTCAATAACATGATAATAAGCAACACAACCAAAAATCTTCAAATTCGAAAAATTAGGCAACTTACCACTCCAGATCTCAAACGGAATTTTGGAATCAATTCCAGAATGAGGACCCCTATTAATGACATAACAAGCTGTTAACACAGCTTCACTCCAGTACCTCCTCCCAAGCCCTGCATTAGAGAGCATGCATCGGACTCTCTCTAGCAGTGTCTGATTAACCCGTTCTGCTACACCGTTCTGCTGTGGTGTCTTCCTGACAGTATGATGCCGACCTATACCCTCATCTGCACAGAACTGATTAAACTCGTCTTTGCAAAACTCTAGCCCATTGTCCGTTCGTAGCTTCTTGATCTTCCTTCCTTGTCGATTTTCCACCAAAGCTTTCCATTGCTTGAAAACTTTGAAGGCCTCATCCTTTGACTTAAGCAACCTAAGCCATGTGTATCGGGACTTGTCATCAACAAATGACACAAAATAGTGGTAACCTCCCATACCTTCAACTCTAGATGGACCCCAGCAATCTGAATGGATGTAATCGAGCACTGCATCAGTAATGTGAGCACCCTTGCTGAACTTTGACCTGTGTTTCTTACCAAACACACAATGCTCACAAAATTCAAGGTTGGCAACCTTGACCCCGGATAGAAGACCCCTCTTGGACAATAGCTGCATCCCCTTCTCCCCCATATGACCAAGCCTCATGTGCCAAATCTTAGTCATCTCCTGGTGAGATACAGATGCGCAAACCGCAGAACTAGGCAGTGTAACACCCTCAAAAACATAGAGGGTGTTCCTTTTGATACCCTTAAGTACCAACTCAGAACCTCTGAAAATACACAACTCCCCATCTGAAAACACACCATTGTACCCCAATTCATCCAGGGTACCCAATGAAATCAGATTCTTTCCTAAAGCAGGAACATGCCGTACATTAGTCAAAGTTAACCTCCGCCCATCAACAGTCCTCAACCTCATGGAACCAATACCTGTGACCTTACATGGAGCATTGTTACCGACTATAACCATACCCCCATTGCGAGGTTCATATGTATCAAACCAATCTCGACGTGGACACATATGGAACGAACACCCCGAATCTAGAACCCAGTTATCAGATAAATCATCAGACCTAGCAGAACTGACTAATGCTAAATCTTCCTCTGAATTATAGCTCTCATTCGGTTTCTCTTCAACTACAGCAGCCTGGGACTTGTTTTTCCTCACCGGACAATTATTCCTAAAGTGACCCGGTTCTTTACAGTAATAACATGTTTTAGTAGTAGTTTTACTAGATCCATCCTTGCCGTTTCCAGCACCCGACCCAGCATTGTTCCCCTTGTTAAACCCCTTATTCTTTTTAGACTTTCCGGACTTAACAAATAACCCACTACCATTATCCCCATTATCACTCGTAGCTTTCATTCTGAGTTCCCTAGTATGAAGTGCTGCCTTCACTTCTTCTAAGGTTATAGAATCCTTACCAACAACAAAAGACTCTACAAAATTCTCAAAGCTAGACGGTAGAGATACAAGTAAAATCAACGCAGCATCCTCATCATCAATTTTAACATCTAAATTACGTAAATCAAGCAAAATAGAGTTAAGTTTTTCTAGATGTTCCCGTAAGGAAGTACCTGACTGCATCCGGAGGCTAAACAACCGCTGTTTCAGTAATAATTTGTTGGTCAACGACTTAGTCATATACAATGACTCCAGCTTCAGCCACAATCCAGCCGCCGTTTCCTGATCAGCAACCTCCGTGATGATTTGATCATCAAGACTAAGTAATATGGTAGAGTGTGCCTTCTCTTCCATAACTTCTAACTGCGAGTCAGTCGGTCCGTCTCCTGACTCCGAAGTAGTACTCTTTGGAGCCAACGGACGCCATATCTGCTGTTGTTTTAACAGAGCCTTCATCTTAATTTGCCATAGCCCGAAACTATTTTTCCCGGTAAACTTCTCAATTCTTATTGTTGAATCTCCTGCCATTGTTATCTTCAAGAAACTCTCCAAGGATTGAACCTGAGCTCTTGATACCAATTGTTGTGCGACAGCGGAAGCAAAGGTCGTAAACAAACAAGAAAACAATAAAGAAATTCAATGCAAACAATAAGAACAACACCAAGAATTTACGTGGTTCACTATCGATGTGATAGCTACGTCCACGGGCACCGAGATCGAATGATTTCACTATAAACTGCAAAGATTACAAAGATGATTCTTGTATTTCTCAAGAACGGCTCTCACTCTGTCTCTCTTCACCCTAATACTGATATTAGGGAGGTTTTATATTAATCCCTAATTAAAAGATACTTGGGCAAAAAGATAATAAAATAAGATAACCTAAAACCGCAAAATCCGCGTTCCGTATTTTTCCTTCTCCGCCCGGTCAGACCGGGCAAGGTCTGCCCGATCGGGCGCGAGAAGAAAACTCCATACGAATGCTTCAACGTATCCAACCCCCACCGCCCGGTCAGACCGGGCAAGGTCTGCCCGATCGGGCGAAGGCTCGCCCGGTCGGGCGAAGGCTCGCCCGGTCGGGCGCGAGAGCAGCTTCTTCAACGAATTTGCCAGGCACCTCTTCTTCTTCCGCCCGGTCAGACCGGGCAATGTCCGCCCGATCGGGCGGACAAAGCTACGAAGTACGAGTCACCTAATATACTTATCAACACATTTTCATTTGTTGAGTCTTGTAGATGACTATGCTCGTACTCTCTCACTTTGCGTTGCTCGATTAAGGATTTTTGGGGCTTGTTGTTGACACATTGTAACAGTATTTGTTGAGGTGTTGTCAAATGTGAAGAGTGATCCTGCTGTATGTTGTTGGTCAATGATTGATGAAACTACTTTCTGAATGCTTGTACTCATTCACTTTAGCGATGCTCAATTATGCATATTTGGGGGTTGTTCTTGACACAATGTAACAGTACTTGTTGAGTTGTTGTCAAATGTGAAGGTGATTATGTTTTATGTTGTTGGTCAATGATTGATGAAACTATTTTCTGAATGCCATTTGTTGCTGCATCAATTATTTTATCAGAGCAAAGGTCAATTGTGTCATACATTTGACTCTTTCAACTAGGACATTTCAAGCAGGCCAACTTTTTAACGATTAGTCAACTAATTATGTAGCATATTCCTTCTTGCTTCTTCAGGAAACTGCATATTGGTCAATGAATATGAACTACAACAGATCTGATTTCTCTGATGTCAGAACTACTTCTTATTATGGCTACGATGTTAACAATCCTTTGCCAAGAACCGAAATTAATCGCAGGACTTGGGAGTATTCTCCTTCTATGCACATTGAAGAATCAACCATGGTCATGCAATCCCAAGAAAATGTAGTTACAACTTCAGATGCTGCTGAAGAATGTGAGTTTGCCAATGTTTTGCTTGTTTTTCTGATTACATTAAGTCATTAGTCAATTCGAGATTTTCTGCCTTTGTTTTCTTTTCAATTTGAATACTTTTTGGGGGATATTTATTCCCAAAACTTTCAGATGCTATTATGCCATATTGACCTACAATAACTGCCATATTTTTCAAATCAATTTGACCTATCCTTATTTTGTCAGGAATTGATTTGTCTGCTACTTTTGGTCTAATTTGACACAAATTTTCTCCATGCCTATAGGTCCTGATGACGATCAAGATGATGATAGTCCTGAGGTATGACCGTATGAGTCTGCATCATACCTATTTTAGTAATGCAAGCAAGATTTCATTGTCTGCTTGTTAGCTGAAATATGGTCAATTTATGTGTATAATTTATTGAAACATAATTAGTACTTAGGATTTGCAGATAATACTTGTGATTTGTACTTGCTTAATCGTCCTTTTGACTCTAGGACCATTATCCTGTGAGGTGGAATCTTTGTGTGGTTGATTGCTTTATTTCATTGTTGGTTAGGCGACAACGGAGCCTTACTACTATCTATTTTGTTACAGGTTGCTTGGCAAGATGTCGTTGATCCTGATAGCATGACTTACGAGGTTTGTTCCCATTTTACATGGTTTATTATGTTCTATAATTGAATTTCATGATTACTGCTTAATATCAATGTAAAGTAGTGGATTTTGCCAACTGCGATGGTGTCTCATGCAGCTTGGCTTGTGGTGTAGGGTATTTATGATGCCCATATAGTCGATACAGTTCTAAATTGGGAACATTGAAGCAGAGAGCTTCCCAATGGGTGCGTAGCTTGTGAAAGATGATATGTTTGATGTTGGATATTCTAATTTTATAGAACTGCTTCGTTTTTAAATTGGACAAATTCACTGGTTAACTAGAACTTGCTTTTCTATGTAGTATGTACAAAGCAAGTGGCTGATTTTGTGCTGTTTGCTGTTTTGCTCCATGAATGTAATTTCTTACTCCCTCCGTCCCCAAAAGTTTGACCCTTATGGCCAAAATTTAGTCCCAAAATGATCATCCCATTTGCATTAAAATACCCTCCAATTTGCAACAATATTTGTGTAAAATTAGCTTCCCCATGTAAATTTTGCTTTTTTCATGTACTTTTATTACTTTCTCCACTTTTTTGCAAATCTCATGTAAATTTACTTTTCCAATGTACTTTTACTACTTCTTACTTAACTTTCTTAACACCCGTGAAAATTGCCCATAAGGGTCGAACTTTCGGGGACGGAGGGAGTACTATTCATTGTCCAACTCTTTTTGTGGACAACTATTAAATTCTGCTCTACTTCATCTTTGAAAGTAATATACTGCTGAAGTCGTCCTTTAAAGCTGCCATTTGAAGAACCCAGGGAAAATATTATGCGCCATGGTTTAATACTTTAATATGCATCGCTGCACTACCTCTCCTTGCTCTTGTTAGTTATAGTTTTTAGCCACACCACTTTTTCTGAAAGAACAGATTCGATCTTTGCTTATCAAGAAAGATCATTGTGCGCAGAATAGCATTGATAAGCTGAAGGGACCCTGATCCCTCATGCTGCTTGCCTGCTTATCTTTTGTGTATGATTTAAGTTTATGCATAAAAGGTGCATCAGTGCATGTGAACTTGTGTGCTAAAAAAATGTTCTTTTATTACAATTGAATGGCATGCTGTTCTATATATTCGAGTTTAGTTGGTGAGTGAATGGATCTCTTGTTGCAGGAATTACTTGAATTAGGTGAGGCAGTAGGAAGTCAAAGTCGAGGTCTTTCTCAAGAACTTATCAAGTTGCTTCCAACCTCTAGATATAAGGCGGGTGGTTTTTTCTCAAGGAAAAAATCCAGAGAGAGGTAATATTTTCAGACAAGTGCTATTTACTGCCAAGAGTCGACAAGCTCCGTTTCATCTGTCATGTCTTGTGATGTTATTTTGCACTGCCTAATGTAATATAGTGGAAAAATAACACCTTAATTTTGTTCAATGTCTTCTGCTGAAAGTGAAGAAAGACTTATAAAGAAACATTTTGATGTCATGATTATGTATCACCATCAGTGTCTCTGAAATGGTGCTCCTTGAATAGTTGAATGTGCAGCTTCATTGCTTCTTTGAGTTGTAGTGTAGAACTGTAGACAGACACCAGCTTTTATATCCCGGTGTACATGAAATTCCTTTCTAAATTTGCCAGCTCTTCTTGGTGTTTACAGATTGATGAGATTAATTGATGTAGTTGGGCATGGTTAGTCATTAAATGGGGTCACTACGCATGCCATCTACAAGTTCGTAACGCGCAATTAAGACGTAGGGCCTTTGCTTCATAAGTCAAAGTTTTTTGGCATGCACTTTACCTATGTGCTTCTCAAGGGGAATTACCTTTGTGTTGCTGCTGCTTGATAAAAATTATTTAAGGACTGAGGCATTTACTTATTGAAGTTGCCCCAAAAAGAAAGTGTGATAATTAAATGAGCATTGAAGAAGTTGGAAGTGTAATTATATCATGCAGGCTTTCTGAGTTATCTCATTTGTGGCATATAAGAATTCATTTGCAAACTTCTTTGCTGTCTCATATATGCTTCAATGCAAGAATACTTTGTGGTTTTTATCATAATTTAACTAAAAATTTTGGGCAGATGCGTAATATGCCTGGTGACGTACAAAATCGGGGACCAACAAATGACATTGCCATGCAAGCATGTATACCACTCCAAATGTGGGAGGAAGTGGCTCAGCATAAATAAGGTAAACTGGGCTAAATAAAACTAAACAGGTGCATATTTTGTGTATATATTTCCTTTTGGCGCTTCTTTCTGATATCATGACCTGTTTTGTTGTTTTCAGACATGTCCGGTTTGCAATAGTGAAGTGTTCGGGGATGAAGTAAGGAATTGAAAACATTATTGGGCAAGCGTACAGATACAAGCTTAGTTTTTGTGTTGTCTTCATTTTTGTTCCTGGTTCCTGGTTTTTAGGTACAGAGAGCTGATTTTGAATTTACGGCTATATAGTCACCTCCTCCTCCTCTTCTTCTAACTGATATGACCAGTTATGTCTCGTGGTACTCAGAATCTAATATAGATAGAAAAAGGTTCTAAATGTTGCCTACTGCTCGTACTATTCCCTTCTTCCCTTTGCCAATGTTGTTTTTACCTCATTGCATCAGACATTAGTGCCAAGTGGGCTGGGCTCTGTGCACTATAGATAGGGTAAGGTACTCAAATGTAACGTATGTTCTAATTATATCTTTGACCGGATCCAATTATATAATTGACAATATTACTACTAAACAATTAAGGAGTATAGGGTAATTCAACTTTTAGACAATGTTGTAGTCATATATTCATTTTGCGGGAGTGACTATAGTATGGCAATCTAGCTACAGATTATCGATTAGCTTCTCATGATCCTTCGAGACTCTGGGGCTGTTACTGTGTTGTTTGTCATTTTGAGGGAGCAATTGTACACATTGAAATACTCCATGAAAGCTGGTAGAATCTTAAAATGCTGATTTATATTATTTTTTTTTGGTGCAAAGATGCTGATTTATATTGGTACGTTTGCTAGTAGTACACTAGTACTAGTAATGTCATTGTTCTCATGCTCGGTAAGTTAATATAACCAATTATAACAAAATTTAGTTATTTTTTTTATTTCCAAATAAGTTATGACAAAATTTTGTTATTTATGAGAAATAATAATTTAGTAAAAATATGATTTGTATCTCTTGTTGGTTATGGGTCAAACAGAGTTAGTGTAACCCAACATGACACAACCATTGCAAAATGAGTTATTTACAATTCGCTCCGTAGGTCAAACTTGAGAATAGAGGGGGGAGGTAAAGGAATTTCCTTACTTTTAAGCAAATTTAATTGGCGGGGCTTGAAAAAAGAACATAAATAAATGAAATCACCTCTTAGCAGCTCTGACAGCCAACCTTCCAACTCCCCACAAAATATAGTTGGTGGGGAGGTAAAGGAATTTACCACCAACTCCACCAAGCTTTGATTGGTCATATGTTATTATATTGATTATATATTTTGTGCATAGTACAATCAAAGCTTAAGTATTTTATGTATAATTAGCACAAGTTATTTGTAAAAAAAAGTCTTGTTGATACTCCGTACATTGTAAAATACAACCGGTTTTACGGTGAAAATAATCGTCCGAATGTGAATAATGTGGGCAACCCATCGTTTGTTAGCGCAATGGGATGTGGGCTACAAAATGTTAGGTATGGGTAGGCCCAAGTAGCATAGATTTGGAAAAATAAAAGAGAAAAGCCAGGTAGGAGTTACAACGGTCGAAAAGTAAATGAGAAACGCAGAAATCAGGATATTGTCTCCTTTCATCACATTCTCTTCTCTTTAACGTTGCTTCCCTCCCTTTTTTCTCCAACGTTACAACTATCACCAACCCCCCCTTTTTCTCTCTCTCCTCCATTTTCAGTTGTCCTGTCTTTCCTCTCTCTCACTCACATTCACTCCAGTAGCTTCCTAGCTACATACATTCATACTTACATTCGAGATAGAAAATGGAGGCTGCTAAGATCGACTGGAAGAACATTGAATCTGTGTTCGTCATTGATCAAGTTTTCGAGAACATCAATGCTCCTAAATGGGTTGATTTCTTGGCTTCTCCTTCTTCTTCTTCTTCCTCATCCAATGATGTTGCTTGGTTTTGCCGCCCTGGTATGTTAATCTCTTCTTTTCTTTTCTTCCCATCTTTAGAGTAACTAATTACTTAATCTTTAATTTATTTCCTTAATTGTGATTACCATTGTTAAATCCCCAGATTGTAAGCATCCTGCAACTGCTGAAGATTTCCTCAAATCAACCCCTTCTTCTTCTTCTTCTTCTTCTTCTTCTTCTTCTTCTTCTTCTTCTTCTTCTTCTTCTTCTTCTTCTTCTTCTTCTTCTTCTTCTTCTTCTTCTTCTTCTTCTTCTTCTTCTTCTTCTTCTTCTTCTTCTTCTAAGGTACCTTGTTCCCTTTCTAATCTTGATCATAAAATGGGGTTTTATTCCTCTTATTGGAATTGAGATTGTGATTTTATGTTTGCAGTTGTTGAGATCTGTTAGTGTATCGAAGCTCATTGGACTTGCCGATTGGACTCGAAAAGAACCCACTCTTTTCAAGAGGCGTACTCCACCTATTCAAGATTCTGAAAATCAAAACCCTAATTTCTCAACTCCTCAATCTTATCACCATTATTATACTGATGAAAAACCCAGATTAAAACCCACTAATTCTGCTAAAGACTTGTTTGGTGGGAGGGACCTTTTTGGTAAAATCAGCGATTTCTGTAATGAGTTAAAGAAGATTACCAGAGTTAGGGACAAAGAGGATGAGAGCCCTGAGAAAGAGGAGGATCAATTGTCACTGCACCAAGGACAAGGGCATCTCAAACTCAATCCCAACCACTCTTACAAACCATTAGGCTCGGTCCCCGTTGCCGCCCTCGCTCCCGGCCTCAAAGACAAGGAGAACAGGATGATTGACAGTGATAATAAGGAAAGGAAGCCTTTGCTTCAGGTTAAATCTGAAGGTGCACTCAAAACCAATGCCAAACCCAAGCTCAGGAGAAACATGTATGCTTGCTTCTTCCTTATGTTCTGTGATTTTGATGATGTTCATATAATTCGAGTAGTGTAGTGTTATACCCAAGAGGCTGATGCTTCAATTGTGAATGTTTCAGGAGAGATGATGAAGCAGAGAATATCCCTATTTCTCTGAATTTGAACAATGTTAAGCGTGAGGCTAAGGTATCGCCCATACGAACGAATCCTCCTACACCTCAGGGGTTCTCAGCCACTCGTGATCCTATCAAGGCCACACCTTCAAAGGGAACAAAGTCTAAGCTCATGGTATGGATCAAAGTTCTTTTAATGATGCCAATTCTTTGAATATGATCATTTGCTTCACCTTACAGATTGTATTCTCAATGCTGGTATATTCTTTCTTGTCAAGTTGTGGGATTAATTCCAATGTTGTTACTTGAATTTGCACATTACTAAATAAATCAAACTATACTAGGCCAATTTTCGGCAGTAAATTGATGAGAATCAGTGTATTGGACCTCAATCTCAACATATTATCATGCTAATTCTTAATCTATGCTACTGTTGCCTGTTCTTTTGGTGGTGCCAAACCAAGTTTTGTTTGGCTGAATCCTCACAATATTTTGAACCTCTTGATCAGTGTTTCTCTGTTCTTCTCCCTTGCCAAGCAGCATAAAATCTGCAAAGTGGGTTTATCGAAATCTACTTATTAACACTGATTGTTTTATTCTACTAGGAAAGAGAGATTTTACAAGAATTGGGACAGAAGAAGACGCTGAGGGATGAGCTTGACGAGAACATTGAGAAGAGTGAAAATGAGAATGCATCTCTTGTTGCTGCAAAAGAAGGAAGAACATTGGATGTTTTCTGGTTCTTAAAGCCTTGCACACTGTCTAGCTAATGAACACAGTTTTAAGCATAGTCATTCTTTTAATTTTTTCATATATATATCATTAGTTTATTTGGGGGGTGAAAGAAGAACAGAATCCCAATAATCCATTCAATTTGTCAAATAGCGTACATCTGTAGGTTTTGTGTTTATGTAGCTTTCTATTTTTACATTATTCATTTGTCTATGATTTTCTAATAAAGGTATACTATTCAAGCATTGTATGCGACATATTTGGTGAGTAACTGAGTAATATATTTGGTTTATTCATTTTTAACAGAACACATGTATGCGATATGATTGCTCGAGTTGTTAATTGTGTTATTTCCTCATTGCTTTGTTAGCCTTTTTGAAGATCATTGATACGGTGATCTTGGACTCACTGTCAGAAATTCTAAAGCTATGACTATAACAAACTCCGTTGGTATTAAATTATATATAGATGGTTTAACTTTCCATTCAACTTTTCCTGTGTATCTAAGCCTCTTTAACCTGACCTCCCCTCTAAACACCACTATATTACAACAAAAAGTCTTGGAAAATCTGGTAATTTGGAGCTTAAACTTCAGATGTCACTTCAGAAAAACAAGGCCGAGTCCACATGAAGCCACGTGAACTAAATGAACCCCAAAGTCCCAAACAGATAAGACTAGACTTTTCCTTAATCATCCAAAGTTGTAATACTACGTATTTGTAAAGTTCGTTTGGTGTGTACGAAGTAATAGTAAGGGATATCATTATATTCATGGACCATGGTATTATGGTAATGAAATAATTCATATAAAGAGAAATTCTCTACATATATTAATTTAAGTCACGAATGACTCTAATAACACGCGTTGATATTAAATTATATTTTAGATGGTATTATCGTGATACCAACATATTAATGTAATAATACCAACGAATGCAATTAGAGTTATTCAAGACTCAAATTATTAGAGGCGGAGAAATCCTCATTTTGTCCTAGTTACCAATTTGCCATAGACACAAATTCAAAATCATAGCTGAACATTTGCAAGGGAAAAAAAAAATAGATTGAATTATAAAGGAAAGGGAAAGCAGATAAAACGGAAACACAGATTCAGGGGGCATAAAGCAGGAAAGAAAACAAACAAAAGAGCAGAAAATTACAACAGCTAAAACAAGCATGAAGATTGATGATTTTCACAAATTTCAACCGATATACATGTTTTGAAATTGTGTGTGAACACAAACTAAATCAATAACAAATTACTTGTATTGATCTAAGCACTGCAAACAAACAGGATGCACAATTATTGTTTTATAATTACAAAGTAAACTATCTAACAAATCAGAAGCAGTAAGAATAATCAAACTGCAAATCACCCCACTAATCACAAATCCCACCTATACACTCTGCTTCCTACTACACAACTAACCCAGAAACATCTAGATTTTCATTATTAGCAAGGTCGGTTACAAAACCAACATCAAAAAAAAAAAAAAAAAAAAAAAATATTCGGGTATGTACAGAAAATACTCTGATTTCAGGATTGTGGTTCAACCATCCAATTAACGAATTGCAGCTTCATCCAATCATCCAGAAAATTCAAAACTTTACCACCCAATAAAAATTAAAAAAAAGGAAGAGGAGACGTTGTAAATTGGATCTAATTGGGGGAGGAGGAAGCAGCACGGAGCAAGAACCGAAAGGCGCGGCGGAATCGAGGTACGACTCTTCTTCGATATCCGCCAGTCTCTCTCATCAACTCTTCGATTGCCGACACAAACAGCGTAAAGTGTCTCATCGGCGGCACGTAAAGCGTCAGTGGTACCGCCGAGAACGCCACCGCAAAAAAGAATTGCACCACCATGATTAGTCTGCTTTGTTTCCCGCGGTAATGATAATTATGGCGTTTAATTTGGGTTTGGCGACGAAAATGGTGGATATTGAGTCATTTGTGTTTGTCTAGAAACTAGAAATAAACGGGATCACTTTCAACCTTCTTATCTTCTTTTTCTTGTCCTTTTTTATATACAGTACGTACTAATTTTACTTTTTTTAATATACACAAGTATATTCTAAAGGCATACAATGGGCTACGCTCTCTTAATGAACGCGTGGTATGTATGACAATAAATTTGATCCGTTAATTTTGTCCAAAGTTTATGAATCAACGGTGTGTCTATAAATGTTTGCCATGTGGCAAATAACTATGAGTCTACGAGTACTTTATGAGAATTTCTTTTTTTTTTTTTTTTTTTTGGTAATGATATATGTAGCCTTAATTAAATACACTCTTAAGAATTGTATAAAATTAGGAATTCATGACAAAAACACGCGTAAGTCAGTGTAATTAGAGTTTATAATTTTAGGATTTCCTAACTTTATACAATTTTCTAGTATATATTTAATTCTTATACGTAGGGGCGTAAATAAGCTAATACGTCGTGAACTACTCGCAAACAAGCTCGGTCAAAATTTGGTCAAAACTCGTTTGTTAAGCTAACAAACAAGCTTGAACAAAAATCTTAACCTCGTCAAATAGATGAACAAAGCTCGAACAACATTATGTTCGACTCGGTAATGCTCATGAACAACTCGTTTAAATCCATTTATAAGTTTTTCACACCCAATTAAAACTCAGACAATTTATATATCTTTTATTCATACATATTTGTAAGAAGTAATAATTAGGAGATTTTGACTTTTACCACCTACATGAAAAAAAGTTTTATTTTACCACCAACAAAATTTCCAAAAATTGGGTTTCACCACCAACTAACGAATTCCATCCATAAATCCGTTACTAGGGCTTATCTTTTTGACGTTTCCTCTTCATCTCCCCGATCTTCCATGTCAATCAGCCAGCAACGAAATCAACTCACCTCGGTTGGTCGGAATTTCGTGTAGGGCTAGGAGGGGTCAAAATTTGGTGTTGGCTTAGGAGAAGGTGGCTAGGGTTTTAGGAGTGCAAAATTTGGTGGTGGCTAAGGTTTTAGGAGTGGTCGAAATTAGGTAGGAGGGGGCTTTATGGGTGTTCAGAATACGATGGCTAGGGTTTTGAGGTCGGAAATTGGTGGAAAGGGGGTCAGAATCCGGTAGGAGGGGGTTGAAATCCGTGGCTGTGGCTGGTGCGTTTGGGGTTGAGGGTGAGTAGTGGTTGTGCGGTGGCTGCTGTGTGGCGAGTTGGTGGTGGTTGTTGGCTATGATTGGTGGCAGAGGATGCGTGGTGTGTGTGGGGGAGTGCGAGTAGGTGGCTGCTAGGTGAAGCAGGGAAGTTAAGAGGGATGTTGCAGTGGTTTATTTGGTGGTGCGGCTACTGTGGTGGCGATTTAGGCTTCCATGCGAGGGTTCCTACGGCTGCCGATGGTGGAGTGGCGTTGGTTTGATGCTTGGTTACTGCCACTGTTGTGCAATGGTGGTGGGCAGTGGCAGCGATGGGGATGTATGGGTGTGGGGTTGGGCTGGCCTAGGCCGCCGGTAACGACGATGGGCGGGGAGCCGATACCGGCGGTGGGGCTGGGAGCAGGTCTGGCGGTGGCTGGGAGCCAATTGGTGGGTGGGTTTTTATTTTAAATTTTTTTTTGTTATTTATTATTTTATTATTTTTTTTAAAATTAATAATATGGTGACACATGTACATGATATGCCCCACTAACAGATTTATGCACAAAATATGTTAGCTGGAGGTGATTGGTGGTAAAAGCCAACTTTCATTTTTCTTTTTTTATGTGGTGGTAAAATAATATTTATTTATTTATTTTATGTAGGTGGTTAAAGCCAATAAGTGGTTTTTTTTGGAGGTGGTAAAAGTCAAAATTTCTTAATTATTATTTCATCATGTAAAGGCATGAAAACTCAGTCATTATTTTTTTCTATAGAAAGAATAAAAACATCTCATATAAAAATAAAATGGATGTGTTAAAATTTGAAAGAAACCATTTTTTTTAATGATAAATAAGGGTACTTTTATAAAATCAAGCCCGATTTAAATCCGTTCAAGCTCGAACTTAAACCCGAAATGTAAATGAGTACGTTCGTGAACAAAGCTCAAACAAACCAAATTCTTAACGAGCCTAGCTCGAACAAGATTTTTGAAAGCTCGTTCAAGCTCAAGATAGTTTGAACACGAATAATTCTTATCAAGCTTAGCTCGAACATATCAAAACTCGACTCAGCCTAAATCGTTTGCAGCCCTACTTATATGTAGCTCTAAGGACTATTTATAACATTTTTTTTTTTTTGGTTTGTTTGTTTTGGATTGGGGGTTGTGACTTGTGAGGGACTGAGGGCCTGTGAGAGGTTGTGTCACTTTAAAAAAAAAAAAAAAAAAAAGTCACGCTCATGTTTCAACGTAATCGCCTAATCAGTCTTCAACTGCTTCATTTATTAATTACTAAGTACTAACCTCATTCTCTACGTGCCTATACCTTGCAACTCCTTTCTGTAATTTATCACAACTTCATCACTATCTAGTATCTCCTTATCAGTTGTGGCCTTTTGCCCTGCAATTAAAAACAAAAAAAATGGCCTCATATTGAATCATACTTCAACATCATTCATAGGATAGTCGGCCTGATTCAAACGGAAAAAAAAAATTACTGTAGTTTGAATAATTTATGAATCTAGGTTGTTTACTAGTTCAAAAGTACCTTTTTTCTAAAAAAAAAAAAAGTATGGTCTTTGTGATAGTTTAATCAACAAGTTACCTAATTTAAGGAAAAAAAAATATATATTTGTATGTTCATATAAAATAAAGGAAATAATCAGCGCATTTGTTACACTAGCTGAACACTACAGTAAATATGTTTGAAAGGAGGATATGTAGGATTTTATGACCTACTAATTGAAAGGGAGCCATATTGATTTTTTTGATAAACTATTTAAGTTTAGCTAAGAATACAATCGTAATACTATAGGTAAAAGTTGCACTACTCGAATTTGTTGTAACCATCATTTTAAGTAGCGATTTTAGTGCAAAACCGCTACTTCAAGTATTGGTTTTACTCATAAATAATAAAATTATGTGCACTTATTTACAGTATTACCACTGCCTAGGTTGCACAAGAACGGGTACTAACACGGATACGGGAAAATATCAATCTAAAAATAGGGGACACAGATATGGATGTTAAAATTCATATACATGACCTACACTTAGAATCATAAATGCAAATATTACAAAACTATCAAATTAATCAGCATAAAGTACCCGCCTAATTGATTTCGTTTCCCACTAGTTCTATATTGTCATTCGGTCCTTTCATTAAATCACACTATATCATATTAACAACATCT